CACCCATGCCACTGCTGATACTATTTGCTCATCTGTAAAATGGAGCCAGTAACAGTAACATCACCTACCCTGTCGTCTTCTCTGTTTGTGAAGAGAATGTCTGTGAAGAGCACTTTGTAAAGAGCGTTTACCATATAAACGACTGCAAAGCAAGGCTCCCTGTGCTGGGAAGTGTCATTCTGTAAGCCGTTGTTCTCAGTACGTAGAAATAGATTTGAGAATTAACAAAATTAAAGACTTGTTTTTTAAAAAGAATCTATATATGAAATTATGATCTCTGCAGTGCCAGGGATGGGGTGGGAGGACATTAGGGAAGGGAACTGGGTGGATATGAATGCGAAATGGTAACCAGTTTTCCTGGAGCCAAGATAATGAGCGAGGTAAATTTGGACAGGAAAGTTGGGGCCACAGGGGCCTTGTGTGCATCTTAACGGAGCCCTCGAGGATCTCTGAGCACAGAAGTGGGGTGCTGTGAGCTCTGACTGGTCAGTGTGGCGGGACGTGTTGGATGGGGAGCAGAGACCAGGGAGAGGGCTGACTCAGCCCCACACAGCAGGAAGGGGACTCTGATGGTCACTGCCTGGGCCGGGGGAGGGGCAGCCCCAGGACACCAAGGCTGGGCTATCTGTCATCCCAGGGCACCCCCATCCATGCAGGGCACTGAAGCTGCCGTGGCTTGTCTGTCTCCCACGCAGAGCCGTACATTCCTTGAAACAGGTGTCAAGCCACGTATGTGCCCAGCATCTGGCCAATGGAAGGTGCTAATAAATGATTAGTGACTTATATTTGAATGAGACTGACTTATATTTAGTGAAGTGAGTGAAGTTGGGGTGTCTGCTTTGTGGGGGAGCTATATTTTCAATAATGTGGTCCCCTGGACCTGGCCCCCCTCCTCACCTCAGGATGGATAAGGCTCTGGGAAGTTTCCAACTGCCTCCCTTCAGACATTGCTTTGGCCCTTCCCATCTGACATAGGTCCCCTGGGAACACTAGACCAGGCTGGACCACAACCTGCTCTTCACTGAGAGCCATCAGGGCCAGATTTGTAGTGTCAGCTCTGTGCTAGACCCTGGGTGTATGACATACATCATCTCACTTAATTCCAGTTCATCTTTATGGCAACCTTTTAAAAGGGTTAGAACCCCATTTATTAAAGGTAGGAAGTGAGACTCAAAAAGTTCAGTAACTTGCCCAAGACCATACAATAGACCAGCGGACCCAAATTATCATGCTATGAACTCCTTAGGGTGGGATTGCCTTCTGTTCGCTCTCTATCCCCCACAACTTTGCCCGTGTGATGCAAGTCTGAGTGTCCATTGAATGAATAACTGAAACAAAGTTCTTCTGACTCCATAGCTCAAATGTGCTCTGAGCCTTCCTTGCCTCATTGGGAAATAACATGACATGGATGGGCTTGGTATGAGGTTAAAATGGGTCCTGGCAATATGTTTGGTAAAAGGAGGGGGTATGGAAGCCATGTGCTTTCCAGAATTCCCCAGATCCCAGACTGCAGACAAGGCTCGCACATATCATTTTGAAGAGGTTTGGCCTTCGGAGCTCAGCTCGCTTCCCGTTAGGGCACATCTGTGTGTCCGATCTGATTCTCAAAACTGGCACCATCACCTGCCACCAGGCAAAACTTCCAGGAGAAGCTGAACAAACTCCCTTTATTTCCACAGCATCTGAAACCGGCTCACCAGTCCAGTCCACCACCCCACCCTGACCACACCTCCCAGCTCCCCCGCGGCCCTTTGTCAGGGAACTCGGAGGAAAGGTTAACCGAAAGGGGGCCGTCTTTGTTGCTAGAACAAACTGAAGGAGTCTTTTGGACTTAGAAAAGGGAACAACAGTCTCAAAGGCCCCTTGCTGAATCATCTAACTTCGGAGAAAACAAAACAGAACTTTAGTTCCACCCTGATGCTCCAGGCCGGTTGCATCTATCTGGGACTTATCAACCCCTGTCCAGAAACCTTCCACCCCCTACACCTGCCCAGAAGATTTATCACCCCCTGCCCAACTACAAATGTCATCTCAGCAAAAGAATACTCAAAATATCCTGCCTGATTAACGTGTCCCTTATCGCTTCCACAAACCTCCCTATAAGTATGAAGCCTCCCTGATCCCTCTCAGCGCTCAGCCTGGTCGTTAGGCTGACTGTCGGCCCTCCTTGCCTGAATAAAGGTAACCTACTTCCATTGAGGTCATCTTCCCTTTTCTGCTTTGCCCAAACTATACCCTACACAAACTAGCAGGGGCATCGCCATCTCCACCTCCCTGGCTGAAGTTTCAGCTGCTGTGGCCACACAGAGCAAGCCTTGTTCTTTCATCAAAGTTCTAGTCCTAGTTTTGCTCCAGCATTGTGCAGACTTCAGCGGGGCCTTTGTGACCAAAGAATCCCCCTGGACAATAGGGACACCTCCTCCAAAGAGCCTGCTCCACCCTGGAGGGAGAGTCAAGGCTCCCAGGCTGCCTGGCTGCCCAGCAACGGTGGATATGGAAAGTTCCCTGAGGCCTGGGAGAAAAGGAGGGCTCGGCCTCCACAGTGTCGGGCCTTCTCTTAGGCCAAGTCACAACCCAGGGGGAATGCTGCCTCCAGCCCTCGCCAGCTGGGGCCAAAATCAGCCACATTCACATGGGGACAAGACAGGAGACCTAGACTCAACTGAACTGTCTGTTTAAGAAGCTGGCTTTTCCTGCCTGGTGTAGCTGGGTCCCCTCTTGATCTAGAATCCCAAGAGCATTCATGACCAAACAGAGAGGTCAACAGGGAAGGTAAGGGAAGAGAAAACGTGAAACTTCATTGACTATTTAATAAATGCCAGGTGCTATGGGAAGCACTAAAAAAAAAAAAAAAAGAAAGAAAGACATAGGGACTTCCCTGTGGTTCAGTGCTTGGGAATTAGCCTTTCCACAACGAAGAGAAAAAGACGGTCAAGAATAGTTCTGCCATACAGTTTTATACACCAAGTCTTTTCTTCATCTTATTAAATTATCAACTCTATAAAAAAAGAATCCGCCTTCCAATGCAGGGTATGCAGGTTCGATCCCTGGGAGGGGAACTAAGAGCCTGCATAACACAGTGCAACTAAGACCGAGTGCTGCAAAAAAGAGCCGTGCACGCTGCAGTGAAGACCCAGCGTGGCCAAAAATAAATAAAGACACACCATGCCATTTATTGGAAGGTTGGAAGGCATAACATAGAAATGATGTCAAATGATCACAGATTGATAGGTATAATGCATTTCCTATCAAGACATACTGATTAATATTTATTAAGTACTTACTACATCCCAGGTATTCTGTTAAGTAATTTATCATTAAGCATTATTTATTCTGTGCTTATTATAATAAGCATTATTTCATTCCGTGTTCATCTTATAAGGAAGGGACTGTTATCATTCTTGTTTTAGAGATAGAATTTGAGGTTCAGAGAGGTTAAGCAACTTGCATTATTTCATTCCGTGTTCATCTTAAAAGGAAGGGACTATTATCATTCTTGTTTTGGAGATAGAATTTGAGGTTCAGAGAGGTTAAGCAACTTGCTTTAAGGTCTTGCAATCTGTAAGTGGTGAGCTGGAATTTAAATTTAAAGAATACACCTAAAAAAAAAATGGAATACACCTGTATTCTTTGTTTCTTTATTGAGGTATAACTGACATACAATACACTGCACATATTTAAAGTGTACAAGTGGTAAGTTTCTGCGTTCGTGAAACCATAACCAGAATGAATACAGTGAACTTACTCATGAGTCCAAAAGTCCCCTTATGCCCTTTCATCCTGGCCCCAGCCACCCACTGATCTTCTATCACTTTATGTTAGTTTGCAATTCCTAGAAGGTGGGGTTCCTAGCAACATACAGTATGTCCTCATTTATTTAAAAAATCTGGCTTCTTTCACTTAGCATCATCATTCTGAGATTCACGTATGTTGCATGTATGCCCATTCTTTTTACTTGCTGAGTAGTATTCCATTGCATGAACATACCAGAGTGTGCTTATCCATTTCTCGCTTGGTGGACATTTGGGTGATATTCCGTTTCTGGCTGTTAGAAATAAAGCTGCAAAGAACATCTGTGTATAAATTTTTATTTAGACACAGGTTTTCATTTCTCTTGGGTAGACACCTAGGAATGGAATGGCTAGATCGTATGGTGGGCTATGTATTTAACTTTCTAAGAAACTGCCAACTGTTTTCCAATGTAGGCTCAAGCAACTCTGCTTCCCTTCTGGGACCCAGTTTTCCTACCTGTGAAACCAAGCAATCCTTTTAGCCTTCCCAGGGACAGATACCCCATGTCCCCTGCCTCCTGTTTGTAAGAAAGTTATAGCCTCCTAAATCTGAGTTTCAAAGAGTAAATTTAATCAGATGTGAAAAAATGCAAAAACAAAGGAGAACAGTCAATCAAGACAAAATAATACTGGTTTAGTCATAAAACAAAATCAATGACCTTTAGTTTTGCCTCGATGACTATACAGAATATCCTTAGCCAGATCCTTGGGGTTTCCTTTGCAGATACTAAAACCCCCAGCATGTGGGAGAAGTGAACTGTATCCTGACCACAAACATGCAGACTCTAGACCAGTTGGAACCATAAGGTTGATGATATTGTTATTTTAATAACTTCCAAAATACCACACTGTTCTCTCACCACCAACCAGTCAGAAGAAAGTCCATGAGCTGATCATGCACTCTACAACCCTTTCCCCTACTGTTGCCTTTAAAAACCCTTCCTGAGAGCTATCAGGGAGATCAGGTATTTCGAGCATGAGCTGCCTGTTCTCCTTGCTTGGTGTTTCGCAATAAACACTGTACTTGCCTTCACCACAACCCAAGGTCTATAGGCTGGCTTTGCTGCACATTGGGCAGGCAGACTCAAGGTTGTTTCTTTACCTGAGAAGAAGCAGAACCCCTAGCTCTGACACACTTTCTGTAAGCCTTTTCCACTGCCTGCCACCCCAGCCCACCACCACCACTACATACACACACAGAGGAAGGCTTTAGGAATGTAAAAGGAGTGAGATATCTGTCTCACAGCCGACTGTATTTAGAAGCAAGTTTCCAGCCTCCCTTCTCAGTCTCCCTGGGACAGTTTTCAGATAGGAGAATGGACCAGGTTCAGGACCAGAACATGTCAGGTGTATTCCAGTGGTGTGGAGAGAATCCTGAACTGACCTGTTCCCTGATGTTTCTGGATGGTGGTATAGAAGGAGGAGATGCAGTGAGGCAGTGGGCAGGGCAGCCACCTCTTTCTTAGAACATGTCTCCAAACCTGTGCATGGACCCGGGCTCACAGACAGTTCTCCGGTGCATAGCCCGTCTGCTTCTTTAGTGGAGCCACAGACCACACACTGGCACTGGAAGGGCCCCAAGAGACTCAGACCAACTCTGTCCTTTAACAAGGCCAACCCAGATGCCAGCGTGCTGAGGGCCTTGCCCAAGCAAGGGTGGAGCTGAGATCTTTGCACGCTGCCTTGTAACCACACCCTGCTGGACAAACACATAGTACCTTGGCTTCAGATACCAAGGGAAAGTTTCAGAAGCATGAGGTTCAAGACAGGTGAAAGTAATTTGTGTTAGACTAGGATAGGTCTTCCCCACTGTCTCCGTGGTAAAGAGTCCACCTGCCAGTGCAGGAGCCGCAGGAGAAGCAGGTTCGATCCCTGGGTGGGGAAGGATCCCCTAGAGGAGGAAATAGCAACCCATTCCAGGATTCTTGCCTGGGAAATCCCATGAACAGAGAAGCCTGGCGGGGTCTTCTGGGGTTGCAAGAGTCAGACATGACTTAGCAACTGAGCAAGCAGGGATAGGTTAGGTTAGTGGTCACCCTTGCAGGAGGTGATCCCGGGAGGGAACGCAGGTGGGCTGTGGGATGCCAGAAACGTCCAGGCTGTTGACCTGCTGAGTATAGGATGTGGCAGTTCCCATCAAGCTGGACAGGTGACAGGTGTCCACTACATTTCAATAAAAATGTACTTTTAACAAACGAATGAAAAGAGACAGGAAAGGCAGTATGTGGCCTGAACACGGTTGGGCTTCCCCATGGCATGGAGGGTAGTGTGTCTGGCCCCCCAGCTGTGCCCCTGGGAAAGGGCTGGAGGGCCGGTCGCCTGCGCTTGTTGGCAGAGCAAACACCCAGGCCTCTGAGTGCACTGTCTCCTCTGTGTACACAGGGTGTTAGGCCAGGCTCCGCTGAGCTGCACTTCAGGGCGACAAAGACAACAATGCCACCATCTCGTAACTGTCAACAGCATCACCGCGCTCCAGGCTTTGTTCCAATATTTGCGGAGCCAGAAGGGCCAGGTCGCCTTTATGATATTGACTTAGATGCACCACTAACCAGCAAAAGAAGAGTGTCCGGGCCTGTGGGCTCGCGGCTGAGGCCTTTGGGACGTGCGTGGCCTTAGGCAGATGGTGCAGGGTCCTGGAAACCCGACCCATTGGCTGTTGTTACTATTGTTACTGTTACTATTATCTTCCTGGTGAAGTCATGAGCTTCCAGACTGTTGTGAAGATGCCCTCAAATCCTTTGTAATCCGACCTGCCAGATTTGCAGGGAGAGCTGGAAAGATGAAACATGAAGTTTACATCTGGAACTGAAGTTTTTGGAAAATGGCAGTGGAAAGTTTTTCATAAGGAAGTTTTCTTTTTTTATAGGAAAAAGAATTTTTCTTTTTCTCCTTAACTGGATCACACTCTATAAATGCCAAGCTTGTTAGCCTCTAGTCGAGTGTTTTACTGCCCCCAGTGATTTCTGAGTGAGACACTCTACCACTGACAAATACTGAGGCTACTTTCCAGAAACTCGTGTTGCCAGGGGAAGCCCCCGCTCCCCCTTGTGAGCCCCAGGCCTCCGGGCCGGCCGTGACCTGTGACCTCTGGCGAGGGGCCAGCCTGCGTCAGCTGGACAAGCCGGCTGGGACACACCGCCCTGGGGCTGTGCTCTCCAGGAGGGGCTGACCCCTCGCTGCAGGTGCCCTGTCCCCGGGGCGGCCTTGCTGTCTGTCAGGTGACCAGAGGCTCAGAGCCTCTCTGCGGTCTGAGAGGGTTTCTCTCCTTCCCGTCTCATCAGAAGAGCTCGCCCTCCGTGCCCTGCCCCTCCCTCGGCCTCCAGGCCCACACATTCAGTGAGGCCTTCAGTAACCGTTAATTTAGCCAATTTCCTGGGCCCCACCGTTCCCCAGGGACCCCACTTTGGTGGGCAGCAGCGGAACAAGACCGCCTGCTGTTTCCCCTTCCCTTTTAATTACACAGGGACAAGCTTCCTTGGGCGGACTTTGGGAGGCAAGCCCCGGGCCAGGCTGGCTGCCCTCCACAAAACAAAGCACACATGTTCCAGAGAATTCCCTCCTCGCCTAATCCGGGCCAGGAAGAAAAGGGCTTTTCTTCTTGTTGTCAAAGGGGGTCTTCGATGCTAAGATACCATTTTGTGTCTCAAGTCATGTCACGGGACTTCTGCCTGGGCCTTGTGGCCTGCTCTTTAGAAATGAAAGACACAGTCCGTGCTTCACCTCAGGACAAGTACCACCCCCCCCCCAACACGCCCACCCCAAAATGCAGGGGCTCGGGGGCCAAGAGAAGCGGGGAAATCTCCCAACTCCCACTGTTCCTTTCTTATCCCAGCAATCTCGTCTTTCTGGACTATTTGCCCAAAGGATGAGTAGGGAGGGCTGGGCCTCACCTGCTGATCTCAAGGGTCATGAATATTCTTATAATCCCCTGGAAAGAGCAGATTCCTCCTGGTGGCTGAGGGGCTTGCCACCCCTTCCTACCGGCAGCCTGTCTCCTCTCTGCTCCACGGCCTCTGGGTCCCAGCTGGCTTCTTCAGATTTTCCAGAGGCCTGGCTCTGCTGCTTTCCATCACGAGTCTATGTCCCTATTTTACGGGTGAATTAAAGAAAGTAACAGCAAAAATATTACAGACATGCAACCTGATGCTTAGAAAGGAGTTGGGTTCAGGCCCAGAGAAAAAGAAACTTCCTGCATCACTGATAGTTGCACACACTTAAACGTTTACACTTTACCTTGTTTGGCAAGAGGCTTGAAGGTAGCTTTTGGAAATACCCATGAAAATTCAGATGAAGAAATCAAAGATAACTGCAGGGGAAGTAGTAAAATGAAATCAAGGCACAGTGAAGTCAGTTAAGGCATGTAAGTGTAAATTTCTGTTTGTGAGCAAGGCTCAGCTGAGAATTTAGCTTCCGGCTTCCTAAGCAGCCAAAGAAAAGGGAGAAGCATGGTTGACAGGTCAGAGCACGCCAGGCGCTCAGGGGAAGCAGTTCTCAAAACTGAGGCCTGACACGTATACACTATTGATGCTATGTATCAAATAGATAACAAATGAGAATATGCTGTATCGCACACCAAACTCTTGCAGATCCTCTGTGGTGACCTGGATGGGAAGAAAATCCACAAAGGACGGGATATACATATATGTCTGGCTAATTCATTTTGCTGGACAGTAGAAACTACCAAAAATTGTAAAGCAACTACACTCAAGTAAAAAAGAATTCTAAATAAATAAAAACAATGTAATGCAAAAAGAAAAAAAAAATAAAGAAAGACACTAAGGCCTGAAGCTCTTTGCTCCCTACCCCATCCCCGTGAATGGTGAGATGATGAGTCTTCAAACAAAAACACTATGAACTGCATTGAAAATGTCATCTCTGGTTTAAGTTTCCTTAAGCTGTGCCTTAAAATGGTTGAGTGTACAACTCACATAGCAATGATCACTTCACTCACTAGACTTCCTTCTACTCTTGCTATTGTATTTAAAATATATCCTGCATTCAGGCTAAGAAACAAACAAATAATTCTTATGGGGTCAGCATGGCTGCAGATATTTTAAACAAAGGCTCCGATCCTATCGCTAAGCCTTATAGTACAGAGCAATCATTTTCAAAGTTTCAATCTTTTAAAAAGTACTGTGCTCACCAAAGTTTTTGCTGACATGGGTTTATGTCTATTGATCTTTAATATTTGATATTGATATATTAGAAACTGAAACATAAAGAATTAAAATATTTACTCTAATAAATTTTTAAAAATAAAACGATTCCCAATATTGTCAAAATGGCTATACTATCCAAACCAATCTATAAATTCAATGCAATCCCTATCAAACTACCAACGGTATTTTTCACAGAACTAGAACAAATAATTTCACAATTTGTATGGAAATACAAAAAACCTCGAATAGCCAAAGTAATCTTGAGAAAGAAGAATGGAACTGGAGGGATCAACCTGCCTGACTTCAGACTCTACTACAAAGCCACAGTCATCAAGACAGTATGGTACTGGCACAAAGACAGAAATATAGATCAATGGAACAGAATAGAAAGCCCAGAGATAAATCCACGCACCTATGGACACCTTATCTTCGACAAAGGAGGCAAGGATATACAATGGAAAAAAGACAACCTCTTTAACAAGTGGTGCTGGGAAAACTGGTCAACCACCTGTCAAAGAATGAAACTAGAACACTTTCTAACACCATACACAAAAATAAACTCAAAGTGGATTAAAGATCTAAATGTAAGACCAGAAACTATAAAACTCCTAGAGGAGAACATAGGCAAAACACTCTCCGACATAAATCACAGCAGGATCCTCTATGATCCACATCCCAGAATTTTAGAAACAAAAGCAAAAATAAATAAATGGGACCTAATGAAACTTAAAAGCTTTTGCACAACAAAGGAAACTATAAGCAAGGTGAAAAGACAGCCCTCAGATTGGGAGAAAATAATAGCAAATGAAGCAACAGACAAAGGATTAATCTCAAAAATATACAAGCAACTCCTCCAGCTCAACTCCAGAAAAATAAATGACCCAACCAAAAAATAGGCCAAAGAACTAAACAGACATTTCTCCAAGGAAGACATACAGATGGCACAAAAACACATGAAAAGATGCTCAACATCACTCATTATCAGAGAAATGCAAATCAAAACCACAATGAGGTACCATTACACACCAGTCAGGATGGCTGCTATCCAAAAGTCTACAAGCAATAAATGCTGGAGAGGGTGTGGAGAAAAGGGAACCCTCTTACACTGTTGGTGGGAATGCAAATTAGTACAGCCGCTATGGAAAACAGTGTGGAGATTTCTTAAAAAGCTGGAAATAGAACTGCCATATGACCCAGCAATCCCACTTCTAGGCATACACACTGAGGAGACCAGATCTGAAAGAGACACATACACCCCAATGTTCATCGCAGCACTGTTTATAATAGCCAGGACATGGAAGCAACCTAGATGCCCATCAGCAGACCAATGGATGAGGAAGCTGTGGTACATATACACCATGGAATATTACTCAGCCATTAAAAAGAATTCATTTGAATCAGTTCTAATGAGATGGATGAAACTGGAGCCCATTATACAGAGCGAAGTAAGCCAGAAAGATAAAGGCCATTACAGTATACTAACGCATATATATGGAATTTAGAAAGATGGTAACGATAACCCTATATGCAAAACAGAAAAAGAGACTCAGATGT